ACAATAGAAAAAGGAACAACTTCCCCCATTACTTCCTTGAAACAAAGATAACCTTGAAAATAAAACCACACTCTGAAAATGAAAATCATGTGTATTTACATCTAGATATTATATAGAATTTTTAAATTAAAGAATTTATCTCATTGATGAATATTTCAAAATCATAAGTAAAATATTAAAAGATTGAATTTAGCAACATATTTCTTAAAAAAAAAAAAAAAGAAAGATTCACCTTGACCAAATTAAGCTTATCTAAGAAATACTGAAAACAGTCTACCTTTAGGAAATCTAGTATTTTATTCACCAAATTGAAGGAGAAAAATTATGAAAGCAGATCAGTAGATTGCTTTTGAGAAAATTCATCCATTCATGGCATAAAASTAATGCAGAGTAAACAGTAACTTCCTTGATCTTATTAAAAGAATGAACAAAACTTCAAGATGATTCCTAATGGGAAAAAATCATAAAAATCATTTTTAAATCAGGGAAAGAATGCATACCACCAACACTTCTTTTCAGGTTTATAATGAAAGTCATAGCAACTAAAGTAAGAAAAAGAAACTAATGGCATAAGGGTTAGGAAGAGAAAAATGTTAATTCATAGAGGATGTCATTATCTGCATAGTAAACCCAAAGGAATCTACAGATTTTTAGGAATAATATTTTTATCAAAGTGGCTGCTTACAGTCAACAAATAAAAATGTCGTATTTTTATATAGCAATAAAAATATTAAGATAATTTTAAATGTATTTACATTTTTCCAAAATTAGCAAGATTTATGTGCAGAAAGTGATAAAATTTTTTGAAAGGCATTTTAAAAGACATGAACACAGATATATAATGTTCATGGATAGGGAGACAACTCCATAAACTTGTCAATTTGGTTTACAGAGTCAATGCTATTATAATCAAAATTTGAACTTATGTGGAAGGGTGAGGAGTGAGGAATTGACATGATACTCTTGAAAAGAACTGGCAATTGCTTAATCACTTTCAGTCCTTACATTTTATAGAAATATTCAGTTCCATGTGTGTTAATGACCAAATTACAAAATCAAAACTAGAAGTTAGACTAAAACTTGGGAAATTATGTTTTCAGCGTGGAATAAAGAAAGGTTTCTTAAAGTAGACATAGAGACAATTATAATGGGAAACACTGAATTGAATTACATTAAGGTTTAATGTAAGAAAATTAGAAGTGCTTCACCTACACAAAGAACATATAAATTTATATAGAACATATAAATTGATGAGAAGGATAAATAATAAAACAGAAAATGTATTGAGACTGGAGATGTAGCGCAGTGGTGGAGCGCTTGCCTAGCAAGGCCATGGGTTCCATCCCCACTCCACGAAAACGAAAAGAAATACATACAAACAAATAAACATACAAACAAATAAACATAGGAATCAATAAATACCCAATCTCACTAAGAATTAGGAGATACACAATAAGATGGTTAGATGCCATTTTACTCCCACTAATAATACCAAAAGTTGGAAAGAATATATGGATCCCGAGGCACTTTTTTTAATACTTTGTTTTCATTTTTAAAATTGAACTTTTAAAATTCTTTAAAATCGGGCCATTATAGTTATACATTACAGTGGAATTCATTGTGGTGTATTCATACAGGCACATGACAGTTTGGTCGGTTTCATTCCCCTGTTCCTRCTCTTTCCCATCCCTCCACTCCCCATCCCCTTCCTCTTCTCCATTGTTCTCCTTTTCAAGAGGCACTTTTAAACAGTGCAGGTGGGATTATAAATTAGCACACCACCTCTGGGAAGCAATTTGTCATTTTCTTGTTTTTTGTTTTTTTAAACATTTGCGTATCCTGTCTCCCAGCGATTCTTTTAAGTATCTGCGGTAAACTAGAGAAACTGCACATTTATTTGCAACAAGAAACGACTCAAACCTCCATCTGCAGAAAATAGAGAAATGCATTGTAGTAAATTCACTTAGTGGACATTTATTTGTGCAGCAATAAATGAACTAAAACTACAAAGAACAGCATGGATGAGTCTTAGAAATATAGTGATGAGTAACAACCACCCCAAGCCCCAGAAGACAGCATACAGCACACCATCTTTAGAAAGCTCAAGAAGAGGCAAACTAAGTAATTTTGTTGAAGCAAATATACGTGTGTGAGTGATAGAACTGTGTTTAAAAGAAGCAATAGAATAATAAAGACAACTTTCATGTCTGTTGTTGTTACTGGAGATGGGACCTAGAGGCACTGAACCACATTCCCAGTCCTTTTTATTTTTTATTTTGAGAAAGGTTTCACTTAAATTGCCAAAGGTATCATTAAGTTGCCCAGGCTGGCCATGAACTTAGCAATCCTCCTGCCTCAGCCTCCCAAATCACTGGGATCATAGGCATGCACCATCATACYGACAAAAGACAAGATTTAGAATAGTGTGTGCCTCTGGGAGCATAAAAATACACATAAATGCAAGTTCATTCTTCAGTAGGGTGATTCTGGGGTATTCATTATTTGATGTCATAAAGCATAAAAATATGTTTCATGTAATGAGGTATACTTGTATAATTATGTTTATGTAATTACATACTTATACATGTTACACAATTATAGCTCTATATACTTATATAAATATTTTTTGTATGTCAGATACTGGCATTAAAGAAAGATAATTGCATTTTTTAAAAAATAAAATTATTTTGGGAATCCAGTCAAAAGGTTCAGGTCACTAAGAAGGAGGAGGTTAGCTTCAGATTTCTCTGTAATGTCTTCTACACTATGAGCCAGTGGGGGGAAAAAAAATACCAACAAACTGAGGAAGGAGTGTGCTRTGGTTTTATACCCAAACTCTGTTTTAGTGTTAAAATAGCCATACTACCAAGACTGCAGACAGAAAGTTTTGAACATAAATGAGTGTATTAGTTCACTGGGACAACCATATCAGAATAGCATAGAGTGGGTGGCTTAAACAACAAATTTGTTTTCTCATGTCCAGAGGCTGTGAGTCCAAGATCAAGGTGTTGACAAGCTTGGTTTCCACTGAGGCCTCTGCAGGGCTCACATATGGCCCCACCCCCTCCTCACCCCACCCCACCCCACCCCCGTCTGCCTCTCCACATATTATCTGGCTTGTCACACAGGAACCTGGTGCATCTCTTATAAATCCAGTCATATTGGATTAGGCCCTGCCCTAATAGCCTCATTTCAACTTAATCTCACTAAAGACCTTCAACTGTAGTTATATTCTAAGGTTCTGATGATTGAGATTTTAAAATATGAATCTTGGGGTAACACATTTCAGCCCCTAACAGTTATCTCCAAGAATATTGTTTCCATGGACTCTTCTTGAGGAAACTACTAGAAGATGAACTTCAGCTAACCAGGAAATGATTGGGGAAACCACACAAAAGTAATGTCACTGATCATTGAATACATTTAACTGTAGCACCAGTACTAAAACAGAAGTGGGGCATACGGTGACAGATCATAATATAAATACTATATGCCCTGACAATGTAGTTATAAAATTACCAGAAATCAGAAAGAAGATAGGAATCAGGGTGTTTTCTGATGCCTCTTCTGTAGTATCAGAACCCACCGATAGGTGAAATAGATAGAAAAATCCCAGTTTAGACCTAAATCCAGACTTAAATTAAGTGCTGAGATTTTGCATAGGTAAAGAGAGCATCTCATTAAAGGAAGAGGTGCATTAACTATTGGGAGAACTTAGTAGTCATCTGGAATATGTATTAAGTTGGAGATCTATCTTTTGCACTACACTAAGTTAAATTTCAAATGGATCAAAGAATTAAATGTGAAAAATGAAATTATACAAGTTCTGGGGGGAAAACACATGATAAAATTTCTTGAAAACCTTGAAGTGAAGAGGGCCTTCCAATTACAGCTGAAAATCCACAAGTCACCAGAGGTAACTTAATAAACTGAACTCTATAGAAATCGAAATCTGTATCATGCAAATCCTATCATAGGGAATGGTGTGATCTCCTTAATATATAAAGTGCTTTTTCCAATATACATAATAAAGGCCTAAGAAAAATTAGCAAAATATAAGTACAGATAATTCACAGAGAAGAAATACAAAAAGATGGTCACTTRTACTCATAAGTAGGAAAATACAGATTTAAATCACATTTTTTCACCTATTCTAGTGACAAAGGTCCAAGGTTTATAAGATCAGTCTATAAGAAATGGGGACATTCCAATTAAACTGCTCCAATCCTGTGGAGGGCAGACATCTATCAAAGTGAAAAGTATGTATTCTTGACATGGCACGTCCACATCTGGAAACGTATCCTTCAAGTGCACAAATGTAAGATTCTGCCTATGCAAGGTTACTTATGCAGCATTGCTGTAATAGTGAAAAACTGAGAAAAAGTGGAATAATCCTTAAAAGGATTCAAATAAATAAACAACAGTATATTCTCACAAGGAAATACTATACAGCAATTAACAAAGAATGAGGAAGCTTCCCATACTAAGGGGAAAAGATCTCCACCAAAGACTGCTAGAGCTAATAAAGAAATTTGGCAAAAATAACAGGTTACAAATTCAACATACAAAAATCAATACCTTTCCTATATACCAACAACAAGTCTGCTGAAAAGAAATCAGAAAAATACTTCCATTCACATAATCTCAAAAAAAATAAGTGTTTATAAYCTGGCTTTTGAAACACATGAGCTACCAGTCCACAAGGTTACATTTAAGTAAACTAGAACATGAAATATGGTTCTGCTAATCTGCTGTRCGAGGCCCTGAGCAAGATACTTTGCTTCTAAATCAGTTTTCTCCTTCATAGAAAGGCTGTGTAACGGTAGTAGGGGCTCTTAGGACTGCTCCAGGGATTCACACCAGGACAAACCTAAGTGCCTAGCACGGTGTGGGCACTTACTGAGTACTCAGGTGAATGGTGGCAACTCATGTTCCTGTTCCTTATCCTGATAATAGTATGTTGCTGGAGAGGCGCCATCTTAGCTGTCCTTTCTTTGTAGAATCAGACATCCTGGGTCCTTTCCAGCATGGCAGCCCTCTACTGGAGAGTGAAAGGCCAAGGAAAGAAGGCCATTGACTGCCTACGCCAGGCCCTCCACTACGCTCCTCACCAAATGAAGGTGAGTGGGACTCAGCGGCAGGACCCTCCATCCTGTGGTCCTGTCTGTGGCCCTATGGTTTATTCTGAACCAGCCTTCCTCCTGCTCGCCCAGTCAGGACACAGGACACAGGTGGGATAGGGCGGGAGACCCCGTAGCCTGGCCTGTAACAAGCCTGTGAACGGTCCCCACTAGCGTGCCCCTGCCTCAGCAAGTTGGAACTTGAGAGAAGGTCTTGAGTATCACTGTGAGATATTACATTACTCAGTACCTTTTCAACTGCACTGGGGCCGACCCATTGTGCAGCAAATACATTGGCCTAAGTAGGCTGCCACCCTGGAAGTCTCTCTGGGTTTATCTTATCCTCGGAGAGTTGGAGGCCTCTTAAGCTCTTTTGAGTTCGCTTCTAGGCATTGGACAGAAGCAAATTCCCATTCCTGTACATACATTGGTCAGTTTCCATTCCATGACTGACTATCCCCTTTTATTGTGTGGTGCTAGGAATCAAATCCAGGGCCTTGCACGTGCTAGGCAAGTGTTCTTCCACTGATCTACACCCTCAGCCCTTAACTTCCTGTTTAGCACACTCCCCCACACCTGCCAGCTAACCCTRTAACATCAGTCTTCTCCAAAAGGTATTAACATTTTAATGGCTGAAAATATGCAGTATTTTTGCAGCACATCTRTATCCGTGTGTGCTGAGTCCTGCATTATTCCAGTTCTCATCCAAAAGACATGGCTCCTGTCTTCCTTGTTTGTACAGGCAGCATTTGGGATGCCGGAAGGGGCACAGGCTTCATGGTGGGGCATTGCTGTCTAATCAGCTCTGCTTGTTACTGGTTTTGTGGCCTTAGGCAAGTTATTGAACTTCTAGGACCTCATCTGAGGATATGCACTCTGTGGATGTCCAGTAGGACACAGAGTGGTTCTTGTTTTCTGATTCTCTGTGTCTCCTGTGGAACCTGGCCCTCTGTGGTACAGCCAACAGCTCAGGTAACACACTTAAAAGGGGAAAAAGTTAGGATGATGACGATGTTGCTGCTTGTTCAGTCCATCATTCTGGCCTGTGCCTTAGGCAGCGGGGAAGGGCCAAGTCTGCATCGGGATCAGCAAACTTTCTGTAAAGAGCCAGAAGGAAACATGTATGCTCCACTAGTTGCCTCGGTTGCAGCTAGTTGATTCTGCTGTGGTAGTATGAAGACAACCCAGAAATTCATAAAGGAATGGGAAAGACCACTGCAGTAAAAACTTCACAGAAGCAAGCAGCAGGCTGAATTTGGCCTGTGGGCTGAAGCTTGTGGTCCCTGCCCAAAATGCTTGGGCTCTATTACAGCTTGAACTCAAAGTGTGTGTCTGTGCACTTTTTATTACCAGTCTGCCCCCGGACAAGGGTTGCATAAGAATAACAACTCCATCACACAGCAGATTGTCTACTTCAACTGACACGTTGGTTTTGGAGGCAAGACTTTGTCAATGAAAGATATAATTGATCTAAGCTTTGGTGCAGTCTCTTCCTGGCTTGCTCTCCTATCACAGAGCAGGAGCCAATGGCACACCAGCACTGGAGTGTACCCTTGTTCTACCACCCACCAGGTGCACCTCTATGGAAGCTCAATAACCCCTCTCTCCACTCCCCTCCCTGCTCCCAGGATGTGCCCCTGATTAGCCTGGCCAACATCTTGCACAACGCCAAGCTCTGGAACGATGCCGTCATAGTGGCCACCATGGCAGTAGAGATCGCACCACACTTTGCTGTGAACCATTTCACACTTGGCAACGTCTACGTGGCAATGGTAAGACGGGTGTGGGCTGCGCAGACCACTGTGCTGCGGTGCAGGGGCACATCTTTGATTTTAAAGCTTCTTTGAATGTGTCATTGTCCTTCGGTTTCCTCTAAGTTTAACATCTAAAACCACCAGCTCCTTCGAGGATAAATTTTACAAATAAGAGGTTAGAGAATTTGGGGTGTTTTGCTTGGTTTGTTTTTTTTTTTTTTTTTTTTTTTTTTTAGTAGTACATAGATTCATCTAAGTATTTACTGCTCTGAAGTTTCTCACCATGAATAGTAGAATCAGATTTACCTACAATTTTCCAGAAACCTCACCTAACACTCCACATAGGCACACCCTTGAGCCCTCTTGCTTCCAGGAGGGGGTAGGTCCCTGTCACTGCACTCAGGATGCCCACACACACCTCTCTTGCCATATTTTTCCCTTGTGTTATAATTTTTGTTTAGGTGTCCATCTCTCCCTCTAGACTGTGAGCTCTTTAGAGACAAAACTCTTCCTCCCCCTGTTCCCAGCACTTCACAGTGTTTGGCACATAGTAGGTACTCATCAAATATTTAATGAAGGATGAAATTCCACTAGTGTGACAGACACCATTTACAGAGAAAATGGCAACGCCATATTCCCTCATTATGGTCAGAGTCAAGGACAGTTTGGGAACTTAAAACCCCAAGGGTCCCCAAAAGCTGTCATAACCAAATTTAACACAAGAGTCATGCCATCCACTTTCATCTAAAGCATGGTGTCACACATGGGGCTATTCCCAGGATCCTCTCCATAACAGTTAATAGAATGAGCAGCCCTGAGCTATAAGCTTTATGTGTCGCCCTGACTTCAGAGGCAGGAAGTACAATTTGGCCAGGTTGGGATCGCTGGATGTGCAGATTTCCCTCTCTGCTTCTTGAAATTGAAGAATCTATTTCTGTCACCAGTAAATGTGAAATTTGCTACTATGAATGAAGAATTCTGTCTGTTGGGTTAGAAAGAGCCACTTAACCAATTGGGTTGGGCTTTTCTTTGAGAGTGTTAATCTAAGTAAAAGATTTAATGCCTTCAATATGGCAGTGATCATTTCCAAATCCCGTTCAAATTTGTAAATGTTAGGGAAAATAAAGTCTTTACAAGTCTAATCGAGACACCTGACTTGACTTCCATCTTTGCAGCTCCCTAGAAAACCCAGGCGGAGGTGTAATGAGCATTAGCTGGGCATGTGTGGRGAGGTTTCTGTGAGGATTAAATGCGAGGGTTTCATAAAGCACCCAGCCCAGTGCCCGGCACGTTTCGGGTACTCAGTGACACTAGTTCTTGCTGCTGCCTGAATTGTTCCCCTGGTGGGCTCCAGCCTTTGTGGGGGGGTGACTGACACCTTTCCCTGGGCTTCTCTGGCTCAGCTCAGCTTTGTGATGCTGCACATTGAGATCCAGCTACTCCCTCCTTCCTGGTCTGTGCTCTCTGCTGAGCTGTAGATCACTGAGCAGTACTTTAGAATTGTCACTAATGTGGAGATGCTTCCTGAGCCTGTTGGTCTAGGGCTGCCATTCCCCTCACATTTGTCCCTTTCCCCCACAGGAAGAGTTTGAGAAAGCACTGGTGTGGTATGAGTCGACGCTGAAGCTGCAGCCCGAGTTTGTCCCAGCCAAGAACCGGATCCAGACCATTCAGTGTCACTTAATGCTGAAAAAGGGCCGCCGTTCTCCCTAGCACGCTCCTTCTCTCCTCCCTTCACTCATGCTCTCAGAAAAAGAGTCAGAAAAGAACCCAATCACTGTCGGTATCTACTTTTAATGATGTGTGTGCAAATTACTGAGTAAGACTTAAAGCAGGACTTTCACGTATGTGGGAATTGGTTTGGTTTTGGTTTTCAGTTCTTTCCCCCAGCCACCCTCGGAAGAGGCATCTTCAGAAACACAAATTTCTTAGGAAGAAAACACAGCTTAACGATATCGTGTAAATACTGAGCCAAGACATTTCTGGAGCTACGCGCTGTCTCCAAAACCKCGAGGCCTGTAGGGCTTTCCTGAGAGGCCCAGCCAGCCTCCTCTGGAGGAGCCAAACCACACTGCACATCCTCTGCTTCCTGTCGTAGCCTCGGTTGTCAGTGGAGACGCMAGCCCAGCTGGTGCCAGCCAGTGAGAAGCAATGTCCCGAGCTCCCTCCACCACCCTGCAGTCCCCAGTCTTGTCCATTCCATTGCTGCTAGGTTACAAACTCTCAGAGGTAGTTTGCAGGGGAGGAAGGGGAAACGATTTTTAAGACAAAATATTTACAACAACCGAAACTCTTAGGATCACCCGACCTTTGTAATGTTATTTATGTTGGGGAGGGAGGGGGGCTGAGGAGGGGGAATCCGCAGTGTGCAACATCTTTATCATTTGTACTTTAATTACAAATCGCAAGGAAACCAATACGTTGAAATCCTATATAACAGGTTTATATATATAGAATATGTATATTTGAAGCCCTCTACAGACTGAGTCTATGTTTTACTAAYTCTTTGTTCACTGTGTTACCCATCTTGGAACAAGGTGCACCTGGCGCTCCCTCTCCACTAGGCCTCCCATGAGCTCCTCGGGAGAGAGCAGGATCCAGGGCCAGTGTCTCCACACAATGCCTTTGGCTTTGGTCCCAGGAGAATCGGAAACTCCAACAGTTTGGAATCTTCAAGGGCACATATTGAGAACAAAAATAAAAGTTGTTTATGAGCAAAATAGACCTGTAATGTGATTCTTCTTTAGAACCAGGCTCATGTGGACGCTGTGGAGCCTGCCGGTACCTTKCCTCTGAGCTCCCCAGGTCCTAGGATGACCTGATCTTTCTTTCACGCCACCAGCTCTCTGGTGGATAACCTGATTAGCTTGAAACACTCAACCAGCCACAGTCCGCAGTCAGTGGGTGAGCGAAGTGGGTGTACAACTGACCTTGCCAGAGTCCGGCCCCCTCGCTGAGCACTGGTCCCAAGTTCACCCCAGGGACTTCTTGGAGAGCCCTGAGACAGTCGTGCCAGCATGTAGTGGAGATTCCCTTTGGGCAGGATTCCCCTGAAGAGTCTTCTGAAGACCCCAGAGTGTCAGCAGCTCACCTCAGACACTGGCTCACTGAGCAGGGAGTGTCTGGTTGTGACACAGGCTGTGATTTGTCGGAAGCCGCTGAGCAGTCAGGCACACCTGTGACCTCTGTCTTGCATGCAGCTGAACAGTCTTATCATATAAGACTTTGAGAACAGTGAGCTCTTGTTACTGAATAAACAGTAACATCCTTGGCTCACTAGGAGGATCCTCATCAATTAACATGTCGAAATATAGTTCCCTCCTCCATCTCACCAGTGGGTTTAGTTTTTTTCCCAAAACCCTCAACAGTTGCTTCTTGTCTTTTGTTATTTAATTTGCATATAATGAAATGTACTCTGGTCTATAAACCTTGACGGGCAGCGTCAGGCAGCCACCACCCCAAGAAGACCCTCTGCTACCCCTCTAATCAAAACTCTCTGACCCTTAACTGGTGGCAGCCACTGGTCTGCTCTCTGTCCCCCGGTTGCTCCTTTTCCATGTCCTTTGGAGTCTAGCTTCGTGCACTAACCTTAAGCACTGGGGACTCGCCCTGCAGTGGGAATTGGTAGCTCATTACTTTTTATTGCCGGGTAGTATTCCATCATTTACTCACATGCTGGAGGATGCCAGAATGTTTCCAGCTTTGGGAAATTATTAATAAAGCGGCAATGAGCATTCACATGTAGGTTTTTGTGTGCACATGGGTTTTCATCTCTCCTGTGTCAATAAGTCAGCAGCTTTTTTCCTGCTGAGGAGCTTTGGAAAATGAGAACCATCAGCTGGCACCGAATGGCGGCAACTTCAAGTGGGTTTTACAGGAGTATGGCGTGGGGACGAGTGTGAGTCTGTGTATCTGAAAGGAAGGGGAAAGAGCTTGGCTTATCTATGAAATGATGGAATTATTCCCACATTGTCCCCTGCCTCGTTTCAGGTGCTGCTTCCAATCCAGCATGGTGGGAAGCTGTCCTTCGCAGCCAGTGACATGAAAGCCCAGTGATGTGGCAGAGTAGGGACAGGCACCAACAGGCCAGACAGGTCTTCCATCCCTGCCTCCCAGCTCCCCTGCCCTGTGGCTGCTGATCCAGAACTCTGGGCTTATCCACTAACTAGGTCAAAGATCTGACCTGCTCCAGACTAAAGATGCTGGTCCCAACCTGCTGGGAGTAGAAGGTGGAGTCCAGCTTTCCACCATGAGGAACAGCCATCGGTGTCCCTTCTGGAAGCTTCCAGAGCAGACTCTCCAGAGCTTTAGCCACATGATAGGAGCCACCTCATGGCATCGCCTTTGTGGTGGGGCTCTTCCCTCTTCAGAGAATCCCAGAATGGGCTCAACAAACCCAGGTTCCAAACTTGATCCTGCCTTTTACAAGCCACAAGATTTTGAGTGAGTCACTGRGCTCTGAGCTGAATTTCTCATTTAAAGAAAATAATCTGAGAATATGAGGACCACTATTCTTCACTAGGAATCCCTGGGAGAATTGTAAAATAAATAATAAAAAATATGAAGCAGCTCCCCGTAAGACCAGGAAGGAGGTGGCTATTGTCAATGGCACCGTGTCGTAAGAAACTGGGTTCTTGAAAGAATTCCAGGCTTCCAACCCCTCTCAGCACATCATGTGGTCAGGCCAGCTCACTGTCCTGATTTCCAAAGCTAGTGCTTTGTCTAAACCCCAGCAAATGTGGCTTCCTAGTCCTCTCTGATTTCTACCCTCTCTGGGCCTCTTTGTCCGGAGCTTTTCCTGACAACTCTAGCAAACACTGATCACCTTTCTGATCATTATAACACCTTCTGTTTACTAAGCCAGGCCAGAGACTCTGCAGACTTCAACATGGAAGATTCATGGAGTTCTTACTGTGTCCCGGGATTACTCTAAGTGCTTACATGGGACGAAGCTCATTTAAGTCTCACGTCAACCCAACAGTGAGGTCCTGCTCTCGTGCTGATCTTAGCCTGCCCATGGCCACGGGGAAACCATGGAGTGGAGGTCTGAGCCCAGACCATCTATATAATGCTCAAGCCAGTGCCCCTGCCACCCTGTCATTTATCCATTACCTCATTTAGTCCTCAGAGCTACAAAATAGGGAGCTGACATCACCTCTATTTTAAAGATGGGAAAACCAAGGCTCAGAGGTCACAGTTACTCTGCAGTGGACTTCAGACCCTAACCAGGCTCAGATCTGCCCACCACCAAATGAGAGCTCTTCTCTGCTCCACGGTGCTGCTTCTAAGCGTGAGTTACTTCTGTAAGTGCTTCTGCTCTCTTTAAGATGGGGTCTTGCCATGTTGTCTGAGTGGCCTTGAACTTCTAGGCTCAAGGGACCCTCCCACTCCAATCTCCTGAGTAGCTGGGACTCTAAGCATGAGTCACCACCCCCAGCTTAGTGCTTCCTCCTTCACTGTCCCCTCTTTGCTCTCAGGTGCGTGGATTGTCTCTCTCACATGTGTCCATGTGTCACATGTCTGTCTCGTGGCACTAAATGCAGATCGAAGAAACRGTAAATGCTGGTTTAATACAGTGTGACTGGACAAGCAATGTGATTCACGGTCCCTCTGCTTCCTGCCACTGACATTGTAATGGACTTCCGCCCACAGATCACAGTTTTTTAGGACGCCAATCTCAGMAAGGAAAATAGCTTGCATCTCTGCAATGGAACTTGGTGGGGGGGCAGGTCCACCCTCTGCCTCAGGCTCCGTGCCTCAAGTCTGGCTACTAGAGGAAAGTGCCCAGGTGCTCAGGAACCTCTCAGGGCCCATTCAACCMTTCACTGGCCAAAGTCTTGCACCACTGGCTGGAGAGATGATGAAATCACTCTGGTGCAGCTAGTTTGAGGGGATCCTCCCCTGTCCTGGTCTCCAGTGACACCACCCTGACATCTGCACCAGCTGCCTTCCACTGAAGCAGCAGCCAAGTCAGCAGCCGAGGAGACTCACTTCTAAACTCAACGTTTGTGGTTGGTGGGACAGGCATCCCTAGATCACATCCCCCCATATCCCCATCCTGTGAAGATGAAAATGGGCAAYCCCAGGTCTTCCTACAAACAGATTTAGCTTAGCACTTACTGATGTCCAACACCAGATGAGACGTCGGACAGAGTCTGCCCTCCAAGAGTCATGATCTAGTTGAAGAGACAAGACTGAGAGAACTAGAGGGGAGGATGTAAATCCCATTCCAGCAAAAACCTGAATATTGTAAGGACCACTAACTGAATGCCCGGTAGATGCACCACCCTGGTCCTCCATACCTCGATGGCTCAGCCCCAGCCTGCCTCACCTTGCTTCTCCTCTGCCATCCCTTTAGTCACTCACCAAAAACGTGTTGAATGCCCAGGATGAGCCAGGCACTGCGATGGCTACTGCAGGTCATTCAATCTGGTGGGAGAATAGGAAATAGGGAAGTGGGTGGTGAGAGATGAGGCGGCAGCCAGATCATGAAAGGCAGCTAAGGAGTTCAGACTGTGTCCCGAGTGGTACCAGAGCCCCTCCTTGGCTCGCACTTTTAGCTACAAGTCAGTTTTCACACGTGCATCAAACTTCCACGTCTCTGTGCTGGTGATCCTGCCAGCTCCTCTCCATCAGCCCCCGTGTTATTAATTCTACTTGTTTTCCGAGACCCTGGGGCCACAGGATGCCAGGCTCCTACGGTAGGTGTGATAACCCCTCCGACCCTCCTCATGCTGTGCCGAATCGAGCTGATTCTGCATCTCGTCTCCAATCAGACGCTTTGCTCCATGGCCAATCAATGTCTCCACCCCCTGCTCTTACAACGTTATCAGCCTGGCTCAAAACAGTGGCTTGATTTAAAAAAAGAGATAGCTACTAAACTAGGGAATCAATGGTGAACAGCTTCCAAAAATACCCTGGAGAAGGTATAGTGACCTCAGGGAGAAGAGACTGGGACAAGGAATGGAAAGGAGAGGGAAGGGCAGAGGGTGTGGCTCAGGGGTAGAGTGGTTGCCTACCATGTGTGAAGTCCCGGGTTCCATCCGGGCACTGCAAAATAATAATGATGATAATAAAGTGAAGAGGAGGAGGAGGAGGAAGAGAGGAGGGGAAAAAGAAGAAAAGAAAAACTAAGGAGAAGGAAGTCTAAATCAGGACAATGCCAGCAGGTACTTAAAGAAGCTATTTTCACCCCTGACCTCCAGCCCCACCTCTAAGGCCCCACTGCTTCTGACCCGTGTAAAGTGCTTTGAATAGGGACAGGCATACGCTGAGCTGCCAAGAGATGTTAGCTCTTCTTGTAACCCCGGYCTTCATCCTGCCACTAAACCTTTACCTAGTTCTAGAAATAATTTCCCTTTTCCTTCTGTTGAGTGTTTCCTTCCAGCCAGGCACGGTGTTGCATGCCTTCAATCCCGGTGGTTTGGGAGGCTGAGGCAGAAGGAATGCAAGTTCAAAGTCATCCTCAACAATTTAGCAAGGCCTGACAACTTAGCAAGACTTTGTCTTATAATAAAAAATTTGTTTAAAAAAGAAAAACAGGTTGGGTTGTGGCTCAGTGGTTGAGTGCTGCTGGGTTCAATCAATCCTTGGTACCAAAAAGAGAAAGAGAGAGAGAGAGAGAGAGAGAGAGAGAGAGAGAGAGAGAGAGAGAGAGTTAGTTTTGTTCCCCGAGTTAAAAACTTGACTGCTTGGGACAGTGATCCCTAGCCTAGAAAGT